TCCCTGACTCGGTCTCTCCCCTCCACCGTGGAGCCTGAGGGCGGCGCTGTGATGAAGATGAATATGTCAGATTAGCAGCAAACTCAGAGCGCTTCACCTGTCTGAGAGCACAGGGGGCTCAGCGGCTGCTCTTACAGACGTCCCGGATAGGACAGAGGAGAGGCCCAATTTATCAGAAACACACATGTTTACTGTGCTCAGGTCTCACCGGCTCAATCTCTCTCTCTTTATGGTGAACTGAACTTTAGATACTGTTTCAAGACTGTAAGTCTAAAATGCACACTTCCAAAAATACTTCATGTCAACAGCAGAAGACCAGTAGGTGCAGATTTTACTTTCAAAGATTGAAAAAACCAGAGAGCTGTTGGCTTTTGGCAGAATATGGAGTCAAACCATTCACTGTGTTTGATCAAACTCCCAAACTCATCTAAACCTGTACTAGAAGCAGAAAAAGAAAGAGCCTGAAAAAGTGACCAAATTGAATGTGTGTCTCACATTTTCAGATATTAAGTTCAGAAGCAAGAGATCTAAAGCTGCAACCAACTATTATTTTCATTGTTGATTAATCCGCTGACAATTTAGTAAACTAATAGATTAATCATTTAGTTTAAAGAAATGATACTATTTCCCTGAGCCAAAGGTTACATCTTCAAATGTCTTCTTTTTTGTCCGACTAACAGTCCAAAACACAAATATATTCAGTTTGAGTAGACATAAAACTGAGAAAAGCCGCAAATATATATATATATATACAGTATATATATATATATATATATATATATATATGTACTGTATATATAAATATATATATATATATAGTTACAATGATACACCAGTCGGTAATCTCTGCTGTTCTTAACCATAACCCTAGCCCACGCCCTGACCCCAAACACTTCTCTAACAGGAGGGAAGCACTATCTTAAATGTTTTGTACGCAGCTTTTTTGCTAATGATTATTAGCATTGTAGCTCAGCGAATGTCGACCTCAGTGACATGCAGTGAAATGCTCGCTCTACCAAGCTGAGGTGGACGACACACAGAAACGTTCAAGGAAGAAGCTGATGCAGATCCATTAAAATATGCTTGATATTGGTCCAGATACCCCTCACACAATCACACACACACATCCACTTTATTGAAAACCAAACCACAGCCTTGGACCAGATACACAATCCTTTCCAGGAGAGAGATTATTTGTGTTTCTCTGACGAGCGAGTGAGCAAAGCAGAGGTGGAGGTGATGAAGCACCCAGTGTGGGTATTCCCATTTTGCTTGTTCACAGGTTCTCCTCTCCAGTAGCTGGTTATACAAACAGAAACCGTCGCCCACCTGTGTCCACTCTGTGAGCAGGATGTGTGGGCCGGCGCTGCCAAACACACAGTCTGTGTTCTCTGCTGCGATAAGGACGGGGCTTCAACCGGCAGTCGCTGCCTGATCGCCAGTGAGGCTTCGTTTGAGTGGAGCTGGGGGAAAGATGAATGCTAGTCATCTTGGCACTTTGAATCAATTGAGCTGAGCTGCGAACTGAAGCCTAATTAACATCTGAAATGTTAAACTTCACTCCTCCTGACTATCTAGGCTGGATATGCAGCCTGCTTATCTCTGCCTCTCTGCAGCTGCATCCGCTCGGTACTTTCCTATTTCTCAACCCCAGTGATTTTTGGTTTAAACTACCTATAATTAAATGTACTCGCTTCTTAAGACCCAATTTCCTGTGCAGGAAATAATTTGAATTAGAATTTAAATGAATCTGACCCCAGTAAGTAAATGCCCTCCTTTTTTTTCCACTCCCTCGCCTCTTCTGGGGATCGTTCATGAATCACAAATGACAAATCTGGGTTTATTTCCTGCCATTTTGATCTCGGATTCAAAGGGAGAGGCTCGTTGTGTCGATACAAAAGCAACACACACGCAGGCCCCGAGCCAAGAGCGTGGTGTTCTGATCCCGTCTTGACTCTGTGGCGTTTGGTTTGCCAATTAAATAACGGCCCAGCAGAAATAAAGGCCAGCCATTGTTACAATTACACTCCAGCTGTGATCAGACTGTAGGAACAGTTAATACACCAGAGCACTACATCCACATCCAGCGTGTTCTCCGTTATATATCCAGGCAAGAAACACTTTGTGACACCTTCACAAACTTACAAACACATCTGGATCCGTACCGGTGAAACCGCAGTGTTCTGTTGTTGACACCTGAGCCGCTTCTCAGGAACAGCCGAGGTGTAAACCATCAGACGTCGAGGTGATTACTAAGTCAATTTTTTTTTTTAATGCGGTGCCACTTTGATATTTGAATTTCAGCTCACTAAAACTAAACACTTTTTCTCCCACCTTTACGTTACAGGTCGCCTCTCATTGACACAAACAGACGGTGGCATGGCTCCATGCAAAGCAACTAACTACTGTACTTAAGTACAATAGTGAAGTATTTCCATTTTATGCCAGTTTCTACTTCTACTCCACCACACATTTATTTTGATTTTACGTTTTTGTATTAAAAAACATATAATAAGCTTTTAAAATTAAATTTTAACCATCAAAAAGTTTGTCTTGTCTTGTTTCAAATGTCTATGAGTTGTGTGCAGTTTCACCAAAGAGACATTGACTAAACTAACTGTATATAAAGTAGTTCAAACCAGTTTCACCTCGAGCAGCTACAACAGCAGCATACTGCTCTACCATTGCTGCATGATAATCTAATGATGTCGTATATAATAATATATCAGTCAGTTGGCAAACAGTTGCTTATTTCCACATCCAGCAGTTACGGAGCAACATGATCATTCATTAGGAATGTCTTTGTCTGTCACTTGATGGATGTAAGTCTAATATTCTCTCTCTTTTAGCTCTGTTTTTGGTCTCCACCAACTCCTGATGTAAATATCTGTCTCTTTAGCTGCTAAATGATCCTCTATGTTCACCAGCTAGTCTCTAACTGTGTCTGTCTGTTGTTTGCTGCTGAGCAGGTATAGTGTGCAGAGGGTTTTTAAGAGTTTGTTTCTCTAAACGCTGCCGGCTTCAGCCAAAAACGACACTATGAGAGCGGTGGGAGTACCAGAACAGTAAAGCTGTGGACCAAACAGATAAACAATGAGCTGAAACTCACTACGCTTTGTAAAGCCAACGGGAGCCATTTCACAGTGTCGCACTGTTTTCACATGGCCATTTTATACATTATCAATGTAAAAATATGGAATATAGGAGCTTAAAATTGGACTTCAAACCAGTTGTTAAGCTTTTGAAGGGAAGGCAAACAGAGTCGGGCTGCTTATCACAGAAGCCAGAGGAGCATGAAGGCTTTTCAGGATCTCACAGCTAAGAAGATGAGCAGATTTGTAACGCCCTGCGCCCTCACAAGGTTACAGCGCCGCGCTCCAAGTCAGCACCCCAACGCCACCATGACGGGAAGCACGCCGCCTCCGTACGACAGGGTGGACTCGAGAGGTCGTCTCCGCAAACCTGTGCTCAGGACGTGAGGTATATTGACATCTAAGGTCAAAGGTGACATGACGAGAGCAGCGGCGAGCCCTGCTATCGGCGAAGCCGTCAGGCAGGTCAGCAGGCTGCATCTCTACCGTGACTTTACTTCTTGGGCTTCATTATGAAATTAAACACCCTGTCCAAACTGGTGGCCTTCTGTCATTTCCTCTTTAACTGGTCCCTTATTTAAAGTTAGACCAATCTGTCGGTTTGCTAATCTATCAGGGTGATATATGATGAATCTTCCTCCCTTACTACAGCTCCTGAATATGTTATTATTTCATTATTTCAACTCTAATGTCTGACTAGAGAAACTGTTCCAAAATGGTGTGGGAGGCTTTTATGCAACAGCTTCAGGCTGCAACCATAAACCCGCTTCACCCTGCCTGCAGGAGATGAACACGCTAACAGGACTATATTAGTCTGGATTTAGGTAGAGAGTTTTAGTCTTGATGATCCATATCCAAGTTTTTTTTTTGTCTTGTGACCCTTTAAAATGAAGCAGTGTCTCCCACCATGTGTCGTTTTAACCAAAAGGGTGATTTATCTTGGTTTGTTTCATTAAAGGAATGAAAGGTTATGCTATGCAATATGGAACAAAAACATAAATTGTGTTAGCAGAATTATGACTGTTCTTTTCCCCATGACCCCTTAAAAGGTGTCCCAAAACAGAAACCTGCGTCACCCTGCCTGCAGGAGCTGATTACGCTAAAAGATTTGTATTAGTGTGGATCTAAAACACATTTCTTCTCACCTTGTGAGCCCTAGAAATTAATATATTAGATACCCGGGTAATATAATATAATATAATATATAACATTTGTCACAGGTTGCATGTAATTTCAACTCAAAAATGTGCTTTTCCTTTGTCTAACTGTTTCATTAGAGACTTGTAGGAGTCAAAGTATCCAGTCTTCCACAGGAAAAAGGCACAGATTAAAGAAAAATTGCAGCAAAGACACAAAATTAGGTTGCAGAATTAGGATTTTTCTCAAAAAACCTCTCTGCAAGAGATGAACACCCTAAAAGAAATGCATGAGTATGGATTGAAGCAGAAAGTTTTCGTTCAAGTTTTTCTTGACCTTGCAGACTCGTCACAGGTTGCATGTGTCAACCAAAGAGTTTTGAAAGAAACTTTAAAGCAAATAAGCCATTTTTTGTAGCAGAATTAGTATTTTGCATTTCTGTCCGTTTAATCAGATTTCCCCTGCAACCCGTTTGAGGGACGTCCCAAGACAGAAACTGTGTACTTATTGGAGTTTACGAGTATAGATGCAGTCCCATTTGCCCCTCTCCTATCAGTTCTGGCCTTTAACCACCAATTTCAGTGAATTCGTGCTGTGCATTTCATGTTGGAAAACAGAGGCACATCCTTACACAGTGGCATGAGAGGAACAAACATCCTGCAATAAGAAAACATGTGCTGTGGCCCGTGAACTTTAAAGCCCACAAGTGAAATCCTGTTGGGAGAGTTTTTTGTTATGTGTTGGGGAGCATGCAGAGAGTCTTATTCTTACCTTCTAAGCAGCACGTCCTCCAAAGGCCCGAGTGGGTCATCACCTCCTCGTTCTTCTTGCTGGTCTCGTTCTCGCTCATGGACTTGCTCCTGCAGACGCCGCGGGAGTACAGCCAGTAGTCCGTGCCGACCGCGATGGTCATGAGGCTGAAGGCCGCGAAGGCTCCCACCGTGGTCAGCAGCATCTGGACTCCGCGGTCGAACAGACCCATGTTTCCGCATTCCATGAAAGGGGGACCCCCTTTCCTCTTGATGTACAGGAAGTAAATATTTGAAAATTTGCGGGACCAAACCAAACCGAAAAAACGGGATATACTCGAGCGGAAGGAGAGGGAAGAAGGACCAGGAGGATGCGGTAGGAACCTTATGGTTGCGTTTGGGTGAGAACCAAAACAAGAGAAAAACTGAGTATGGAGGTTTTTGGGGGGAAAGAGAGGAAGAGGCAGTGATGTCTCCCCTCTCTATTTGTTCATACTTTTATACACCAGCCCCCCAAAAAATTAGAAATCAGGTATGCAGAGGATGACAGCACCTCAGAAGGCCTCCAGCTGCAGATGTGTGGATAATAACACGGAGCTATAAAGGACTAATTATGTCCTAAAGCCTATAGTGGCACAGCACAGCCTAAAAATGGAAGTGAGATAAACCAAACTGAGGTTTATTCTCCACAGGCCTTCAAAAGAAGAGGAGAAAAAGCCTGTTTCCTGACTTGTAAAGGTTATAGCTGAGCACAGAGCTGAATTAACATGAGCTCAAACCATAGAGATGGTTAGGGGGGGGGGGCGGTGTTAGAGTAATGGCAGGCTTACAGTACAACAGTTCAATATGTCTGTTACAGTGAGTTACAGTTACTTTAGTCTAAGGCTATAACATTTAAAATTCAGAATTATAACTAAACAAGCAGCTACCCTAAAGATTATTTAAAATATTATTCTAATGTGTTTTAGTCAAAAGGGGAAGAAGCCAGGGGATAATAAAGTGGGGAGGGAAACGAAGGACGGTCAGGGAAATCGAACATATTAGTGGAAAACAAAAGAGATTAAACAAATGGACGGTTTCGAGTGCCGTCGAGAGGAAATTAACGAGAAGATTCTCGACCTATTGTGGGTTAAAATAAAAAAAATCACGTTGTCTTCTCACAACGGTGGAATGAGGAAATCAAGGCTCAACAAATGAATTAATTAATTAGCAGGTTTTAAAAACACACAAAAAAAAAACAGATAGAAACCGATAAAAATCAAAAAAAGAAGAAGAAATAAAAAGAGAAGAAATTAATCGCGTAGATTTTCCTTTTTCCTAAAATTTTGATCCCCAGTTTCCATATGTAGCTCTATAGCTCTGGGAAGGTTTCCGCCGAAAATGGGGGTCTGCGGTCGGAGGAGGTTCGGTCGTCGACGATCCGGAGAGAGCGGGGAGCATCCAGCAAGGCAAGCCGACCATCACTCGACATAGAGCCGGCAGGAGGAGGACGAGGAGTCTGTGTGGGCGCCGCCGCAGCCGAGGATGCTTCTTCCGTGGATGGAGGAGGATACTGCCGCCGCCGCCACTGCTGCTGCTGCTGCTTGAATATCCAAATTCACCGTGGCAGTATCACACCCAGGACGGTCCCGTTTGTTTAGCCCTTGCGCCATGTAACAGGAAGAAAAATAAATACTGATGAATGTTGCAATCCCCCCTTGTTTTTTCCCCTCCTCCTCCTCCTCCTCTTGTTCTCCTGTCTCTCCTCGCGGATGCAGGTCTCGGCCGCTTGCAGGAGGAAGAAGAAGAGAAGAAGATATTACACAACCGGGAGAGCGAGCTGCACAGATCCACACAGACAGAGCTGGTGTTGTCACGATGTCAGCGGTGCTATACGTTCAATACTCCCCCTCTTTTGTCAGATGATGAGTAATGTTAATGTGAAGAAGATGCTCTTAATTCTGCAGGCTAGTTCTTCTTCTTCTTGGTTTTTTAAAAGGCCCACAGTGTGTATATGTATATGTGTTTGTGCTGCAGCGGTGAGGCTCGTTGCTGGAAAGATATTAAAGATTTTTTAATTCCGTTTCAGTGAGTGGAGGGGCGGAAGGAGGGGGTGTAGCGATGGTGGACTCTCTCTCTCTCTCTCTCTCTCTCTCTCTCTCTCTCTCTCTGGATGGGTAAATGGAGGATTACTGAATTGCATTTGTACACACAGGCTGAGATTTATGCAGTTATGGCTTATTATCGTCCGATCCAATTGTTGCAGCTCTCTCTCTCTCTCTCTCTCTCTCTCTCTCTCTCTCACGCATGTATTCCCTGAAGTAATCTCACTAAATGTCTGCTTTCCAGCTTCACTTATTTTTCTTTCTTTACTATGGCTCCTGTCATTAATAACTGTGATTTTAGCTGCAGCTCACAGCTATGAAGGCAGATATGGTGTCATCTTCTAATAAGAGGATTCTCCAGAAATGATAATTAGCAGCGAGGAAGAGTCTGATTTTGTTAAGTGTTTGAATTCATGCACTTACATTAAATTCAACTTCTTCTTTTTTTTAATGACCGAATTCTATGTAATTAGTGTGCAGTATTGGCACAGTGTGTGTGTGTGTGTGTGTGTGTGTGTGTGTGTGTGGCGCGCTGAAAGGACAGCTCCCTCCAGCACTGCTCTTTCAAGGTGGAGTTTGTCGCCCCCTGCTGTTTAAACGTCTTTATCACAACTGATCAAATATGAACATCAATCAAAAACAATCACAACTAATCAAACAATAATTAGAGGCAGTCAATCTTTCTGCACGCTTTTTAGAAATTGCTTTCCCAAATTGCTCCCCCCCTTACCTTTTAACATATCAGCGTGTAGAGGCGTTTCTGCACAGATCAGTTAACAAACAGAACTTGGAGATTTCAGCAAGTACCAATGGATTATAATGGATTTTTTTATTGCTGAAAGTGTTTAAGAATTTAAAAAAAATGTTGTTCCTTCACTTTGACGTTTGAGCTTCACTGTGAAGGCTGACGAGCAGAGTTTGACAAATCTGTTCTCAACTTTAATCTGAGTTTAGGCGTTGCATGTACATTACATTACATTACATACATGACAGTCATTTAGCAGACGCTTTTATCCAAAGCGACTTACAATAAGTGTATTCAACATAGGTATTCAAGAGAACTACTAGTCACCAGAAGTCATAAGCGCATCTCCTTTTTTAAACAAGCATCTAAGAGCATAAACCAGAGCAAAAGTACAGTGCAGAAACAAACCAATATGAATACAATAAGTGCAACAAACTAATACGAATACAATAAGTGCTAAGTGGAAGGCTCAGGGTAGTACTTCTTGAAGAGGTGAATTTTCAGCCTGCGCCGAAAGATGGGCAGCGACTCTGCTGTCCTGACGTCAGTGGGGAGATCATTCCACCACTGTGGAGCCAGGACAGAGAACAGCTGTGACCGGGTCGATCGGCCGCTGGGTGTACAAGCTGGATGTACAGGCTGGATGTACAGGCTGGATGTACAGGCTGGGTG